AAAATGGGGACTTAACCTAATGATTTTTGTAACCAAAAGTTTTCGAACAAAAAAAAAATGCATTACAAATAGTACGCTTATCTTTTCGTCTATAGAATATGAATTGACTTCCGAAAATGAAATACGAAAAAAAGATCCAGTAAAAAGCGTTCGTTGAAAGAAATAACAGTAAAATCTCGGTAATGGTCAAAATATGTTCGCTACGATATAGATGAAATTGTTTGCCGGTTATAGTTTAACCATAGTGATAATTAGATTTATTATTTAACCTTTTATGGATAATAAAACAAACGACATATCAATTATGCCACTGAAACGAAAAACAATATAATGTGCCGTCTAGCACATTAACAGTTTTTGATAAAATTAATCGAGATTAACATTAAAAGATAAAAAAATTTTTTTAGAGCCTATTCTACTATCGGATCAAGAATTGACAACATCTATGACCTATCTATATATATATATCAGTGACTAAGTGAAATTTCAAGTAGAGACAACTTGAATGGTTGAATACATCTATATCATTATTTGAAATCTTTTCATTGTCTGTTTTTAACTGAAAAAACGTCAAAGTGCTATATTTCAACATGACAATATCTGACTATCAAAAGCTGTCTATTTGATTTACACATATAAACTTACCGAGAGAGTAATATTCATGTTCAAATTTGGTAAGAAAGTAAAAAAAAAAGAACTCAAAAAGTTTTGTATTTGTTCCGAATATATGGAATCAACTTTTATTCTTGATGAGATTTACTTTTGAGGAGACGAGAGAAGGAAAAAAAAGTTCGATTGACAATTAATTATATGACCATAATCATACATACAAAATACTGTCGTAGCGTTTCGTTCAGTGAAACAGAGAAAACAATATTTACCGTTTTTTTTTTTTTTATTTTATTTCAGATTTAAAAGAAAATAAAAGAGAAAAAAACGTATATTATTGCATAAACAACGATTGTGCACGCGCAATTGTAAACTTTATATACATTATATAGTCCGTATATTGATGAAATTTTTCTTATTTGTTGTAGACGACGGGAGAAGAATAAGAAGAAAAAAATCCGAAAGAAAAGCTTTCTTTTTTTTTCCTCAGCATTTTAAAGACATGTGGTATTCGCAAAATTTCATTTATTACAGCTGACCAACGCGTACTCTTTCTGCTACCATTGAAATTGTGAAATGCAGGTGATCAATATTATTATAATTTATTGATTATTCATTTTTTTTCCTTATATGCAGATGAGAATACAATCAAATACAGTGGAACAAAAGTCAACACTAGGTTTGTTTGTTTAAGACAGTGATTTATTTCGCTTTTTATTTGAACTTTGATGATTTAAAGTTTACTTTTTACCTATATTGTACACATACAGTATCTATATAGAAGAAAAAACAGTCTCTTGCTTGTTTACATACGATAAGTAATGAATACACATATATACTCGGAAGAATGGTGCCATGTAATGTGAAAGAAATTCGTGCTGTTCTTTAAAATAGAGGTCACCTGCGCATTCTTTTGTGTTGTTTCTAAGTGAACACCGAGGACAAATTTAAAGTAGTCGAGTGGGTGCTGCAGCATTTTCACCTTCAAAAATTTTTGTTTTTTCTTAATAAAACTGGTCCAAAAGGTTTTTCGTTTCTTGCTTACAAATGGGCTATTTGTCAAAAAAAAAAAGAACACCATCATTCTTGAATTCACACCTGTGTTACACACTTCCTCGTATTATTTTTGCCAGCTAGATAAACAATATTACTTTACTTGAGCAACGATTCATATTCTGATTGTTAATCACTTGTTCGGTTATCTTTGAGCAGTAAAACTAATCATTGTTAATAGATCGAAACTTCTTCACTCTAAATAATATCTCTAATTGCTTTTCCCGCCTCTAAAGAAATCACTTTCGATTGACGCCTCATAATTAAACCGATGATAACTTTATTGAATTTCATTCTTCTTTGCTACAATCTAGTAATTCAAGTTTATTTTTATTTTATAAAATTGCATATAAAAGAAAAATTTTCATTTTCTGTACCACATGGGACAAGCGAAATGGGACAAGTATAAGTTGATCGCCAGTTCGATCACACACGGTACAAATTCAATGAACTGCAATCACTCTTAAACGTTAGTTCAGTATAAGCGTAACCCCCTTTGACATATTGTGGTGTATGACAGATAGACCTCATAATATGATTGATATTCATCTATTCATATTTAAGATGAACTTTTATCGATGAGAAAAATGCTAATTCATATTTTTCTTTAAGAACGATAGAAATAGTTTTTAGTTGTTATATTTCGCTCCCAGACGTTGCTTAACACTTGAAATTTGATTCTATCAACTACAAATATAAATCACATTCGTATTGAAAAATGCGTGACAAAATGAATAGAATCAATGTAATTAGAAAATTCGATTCTACACTTAAAGAGAAAATCCGAAGGTGCTATTATCAAGAAACCAAAAAATTTCTGGAGTTTACATGAGACATTGACTTACTTTATCTTAAAATTTTCTACTTAAGCGTCGAAAAAGAAGCTATTCAAATGTTTTAAACTTGATCAAAACCGAATAAAAATCATACTGATATTTTCAATCATTGGTAAGTTATAAAAAATATCAAGAAGTTAAAAAAAGTTCAATTTTATTTTTTTTTCTCTAAAAACTACGTTTTTTGCACAATAAATATATCCCGGTCTATATATATTTCGATCTAGTGTTCATGTGATTCGTGTTACGAAAAGTAGAGAGCTACGGGACGATCGCACGGGATCAGAATCGAGATCGTGACCTAGATGTCTGCGGAGCGGTCCCGATCCTGCGAGACTTTTATTCGGACAGAGACTAGGTTTTTCTCAAAATAGTCGTATATGGAGCTAAAGCTACAAGGTTCTTCTTACAAAAAGGATAAAAAGTTTTGTATCCCTTTTGTTCATAGAGGTATTGTGAAAAGACTAATTTTCTAATCATCTTTCACTACAAAACAAAAGAATTTATATTATTTGGGGATGCACACCCTCCCAGGCATGCTGTCCCACCTGCCATATTATCACACGCTGACTTTTCAACTACCAGTGGTACTTTGAAAAAATATTTACGGGACCACGGGACCGGGACCAGAATCAGTGCCGTGGCTAAGGGCGAGGTGTGAGGGGGTGTACGCCCCTCCTGCTTTTCAAGAAAATCTTTTCTCGTTAACAATCTCTTTTCTCCCAAAAGTTTTGTCAGAGCTCTTGCCCAGATTTGGTAGCGAATCGAATCAATATTTAACGAAAAACTGCTTTCTCCCAAACTATTTGAGCGCGGTATCGTTCTCCCACATTTTCTTCAAAGAGAAAAAAAGCTCAAATTGATATTGAAGATAACAACCGATAGATATATGTGTATAAAAGAAAATTGTGTTTTCTGATTTCTATGCCTATCTCCCTAAAAAATTTACACCCTTCCCGCTTTTTTCTCTCACCACGACACTGAACAAAATAATTCTCGCAGACCTCTAACGAAAAGCCCTATGTAGTATATGGTTAACCGTTTGACGGATGGGATTTCTCTTACTACTATCCATTAAAAATCTATAACTGCAGATTTTTTAAAATGTGCATGTGAAGTATGCTCTAATACTTTTACGTTGTGTACATAGATTTTTCAATCTAATCGTCGTATCGTGTTATTCTCCTTTTAGTAGTAGAATATTTTTAGCTTTTTGAGATGTGAACCATCGACAGTTCTGTGACACTGTGAATATCAAAAGGGTTATTGAAAATCTTAAATGCACTTACACACGATACATTGGCCTGCTGATTTTTGCGTAGGATGATCGTTTTCAGGAAAAATGCTTTTTACCGTTTTCTTGAGAAATTTACTAGTAATGAATCTAGCCTAATATATCTGTACAAATTGCTCAGGAATGAAGGAATCGACGAATATAGGCAGAAAAACTCCTTGAAAGAACATTGTAAATATAATCGATATCATTTTTCAGTTATACGAGGGTCCAATACTGCTGAATAAAAGATGAGATAATTATACAAATTTTGAAATCAATGTTGAGATGATATGATACCATAACAGATATCATGGCCAACAACAACAGTTGACTATTGTCATAAAATATGTAATTTTGTCTTGGTGACACCATTTTAACAGTCAATATTAATTATAAATGATGGTCATTAGAACTGAGCGAAAGCGTGATTTTGGCTACATCTAGCGACAATAATAACACAGTTGCGTAGTTGGAATAATAACTGATTCTTGTTCTCAACAACTATCTATTTATATGTACTTTAATACGAATAATTCCTAGACGTGTGCAAGTGTGATTAAAATTCAATGATAATATGATAGAGTTTCAACTCATTTTTAAATTAAAAAAATCTTTTCATTACTTGTATTTTATGGCAAAACAGTAACACACAATTTTTTGTTACGTCAATTATCATTATCAGACGATTTACGATAACATCAATGCTCGTCGAACTTTCATAATGTACATGATTGAAACTAATTCAATATGATACTCAATTATTAAAATCGACAGAATCTTTACTGATAAATTATGTTTTGTCAAGTAATAATATCCGCCAATTTCTTTATCAACATATTTTTTTCATATATATATATATATAAAATCAAAAAGAAAAAAGAAAAATTACCTATTGAGAGGGATTACATTCTTTTATATCTCAGGCAAAGCGAAATCTTTTTCATGCGAAAAAGACAAACAGCAGATAAACAGATATCAGAAGAAAAAAAACTGGACGTGCAGTTTTGAAAAAAACAATCACACTTGTAGGGAAAAAACTGAAGAATAAGACGAGCATATGTATACTTGTTTGCTTTGGGATAAGGAAAAGAGAACAACAACAAAAAAAAAAAAAAATTAACAAATATAGAAACTTCATAAATAGGAAAACAAAGTGCTTAACGATAAACTAAATTCATCATTCATTTCAATTCCTGGAAAGGAAAGAATATTTTAATATGTTTTTTCTATGCATAATAATTTGGAGATATCAAAACATCCGCTAATATAACAAGTTGATCTTCTGTAAATTTTTCACGATGTTCATGCCATTGATCATGATGTGTACGACGAAATTCGGATAATGTTTTTTTGATTGATTTCTAAAAGGGTACAGAATTTATGGCTTGTTATGTGATCTTGTGAATAATAATAAGCGATCCTTACTTGTATGAGATCTGGATCATGTGAATGTTCAGCTAGAAGCATGAGAGCTTCTGGCAAATAACTTGGGATTTCGTAGGGACTGGATAAAACAATTGCACACAGTCCCAGCACACCTATAAACGAAACAAAATCTGACATGCTATAGGATGAACTAAAGTTTCTAAATGCTTACCTCCATGCCGTTTAACGATATTTTCTGTTGATGTCACCTTTTTACCATCGACTTTTGTAAAATAATTTGTTTTACTCATTACTTTAAAATGTTTCTAGTGAGGGAAAAGATAAGCAAAAAAGAGATCAAATATTGTATAGGTTAATGATTTTCTGTCATACCAAATCTTCACTGGAAACCAGCATATAACCACACTGATAAAAACCGGATAATGTCACCGAAGCCACAGTACGAACCTAAACAGTGCGATAATGATAAAAAAAAAGACATAGCTCATAAACAGAACATTAGGCCTACTTCAAATTGATCATCGAATAAACATTTCAATACAATAGTACGTAAACGTTTATCGTAAATTCGAACATTAAATAGATTAGAAAATACCATATTTTGAACAAATTGAATGGCAGAACGTCGAGCATGATATTTGGAACTCGCGCAAACCTAAACAAAAAAAAGTACAAAGTGTAAAAGTTCTAAGTCCATGTGAAGAATATTTGAGAGTAAAATGATTTATTCAAAGACTAAAATGACGCTCAAAAATATAAGATGTTTCATTTTTTCTCAATTTTTTCATTATTTATGGACATTGAAAGAGTAATAGGAGTAACTGGACCTTCGACGATGTATGAACGTTATGATATCGAAACTTTTGAAAATCTCTCTCTCGTAATGAAATTAAAAAACTGAAAAGCTCTAAATAAATCTACTATTGACTAGTTATGATAATATCAATGCATACTTTTTCACCGTGATATTTTTGTATATTGCAAACTTCACTGCAATTTACTTTGTTGGACTGTTGTTTCTAGTCATCATAACTAGTCAATAGTAGATTCGTTTAGAGTTCAGCTATTTTTTGAAGACAATTGTTTTCTCTATCTTTCGTTCGTCACAAAAGTTTTGCTACTGTCTGGGAAGCTGAGCTTCTTAGAATATCAGGTCTTTAGCTTCATTATGAGAAAAAGATTTTCAAAAGTTTTGATATTATAACAACGTTCATACATCGTCGAAGTTCCAGCTATTCATATTACTCTTTTGATGTTCAGGAATCCTCATAGTTGATGAAAAAAATGAGAAAAATGAAACATCTTATACTTTTGAGCGTTATTTTATATCAAAAACTGATTTTTAATTAGATTACTTGTTCCAATTCTGAAATTAAAGTTTCCATATAGGGTTCTTGTAAATAGGTCATGGCAATGCACAAACGACTAACAGCCAAATTTTTTCGTACGACTTCGTCATTTGCCACAATACTTTCAACTTCACAAAGCTTTGAAAATAAAAAATAAAATATTTTTTTAAAAATCACTCATTGTGGTCGTAATATCGTACCAATGGAAATATTCGTACAATTGCCCCTTTGACCGGTTGTAGACATCTGGTAAACATATGTGTCAATAATTGAATCACTAAAGAAAGAAAATAAGTACACAAAGAATCGGATATTCACGATCCTAATACCTGTCTCGATAAAATTCAGGGCTTTTCTTGCTTCCGGATCAATCTCAACAACTTGTCCGGATACATTTGCTGTAAAGGATTAAGAAATATAGCTGCGCCTGTTCATCACTTATGATAACCGCTTTTACTTGCCTAATGGTGTTTTTTCATAAATTTCAATGGCTTGCCGTAGCCTTTCTCTCATTGAATCGATGAATTTATTCACGTCTGGATGTCTTATTGATTGACCGTTTGGTAGTTCGATATCGAAACTAAGTGACATTGCTAGTACACTAAAGTGAAAATAGTTGACGTATGAATCATAAAACATTATTGTTCGCTGTATTACTTTGCAATACGTTCACGAACAGCTTTAAATGGATGATCAAGTAATTCTTTGGCATGTTCATTGATTGTTGTCCACATTGTCGGTACTCTCCATTCAAAATTGGCTATTGTTTGTGTCAAATACCAACGTGCTGTTTCATTAAATGTATTTGTCGATGTTTGTCCAGAAGTTAAAGAACGAATATAACCAATTGGTTTGTACATTCGACGAGGATCTTCATCTTCCTTTCAAAGTAATATAAAATCATTTTTTAACTATGTATTTATTATTAAAAACTTACTATTCCTAATTTAAAACAAGAGCCCCAATGTGCCAATGTTTCTGGTGATAAATTGGCAAGCATTTCGTCTAAAAATGGTGTCAATTTTTTCCAAAGTTCATCAAGCTAAATACAAATAATAAATTCTATCATTAAAAAGTTGTTATAAACACAAAAAAACTTCTTTATACCATATCTACTGTCCAATATTTTGAGCCTCGTATCATTCCAGCAGTAATTTCCGCTGCTACACGATGACTACCTTCTTGTTTTGTTTTATCTTTATTATGAATCAATGTATAGAGACATTCAAGAAAATTATCAACAAATTCCAGACCAAAATTACGAAATATGCCCTATAAATAGAATATGTTAAACATTGACAATATAATACAATCAGAGTGCACATACTTTAAACATTTGAAATCGTCTTGTATCAAAATTTACTTTTCCTTTTTCTTCATCTAAAATCATAAATTGTGCAAATTGTTCTATAAAATTTTTATCTGAAAAACGTTCATATATAATTGCCACATGTTCAGGTAAATTTGTTTTGTTATAACGTTCACGTTGATTTAGTGAATATTTTATTGATCTAAATAATAGACGACATATAGATTTAAAATAGTCAGATCATTTGTATATACTATTTACTTTGGCCAAGAATAATATCCCCAAAATGATTTATCAAGAAAACACGTGTTTTTCCATTCTTGTTGATTCTTTGGTTCATAGTTATTGTATGTTACCCATAAATTATCGTCACGATCACCAGGATGAATTCCATTTGGTTTTATATGTGTAATAGCTTCAATAGGTTTTTCAATAAAAGTACGAGCTGGTTTTTGTAAACGACAAAAAGCGGCTACACCTTCTTCTGCTATCTAAAACAATATTAAGAATAAGATACTATTTATAGTTGATTCGATTTCACTAGTTATTATTTACTTTTCTTAATTCAACATTATCATGAACAAGTAAATCGACAAATGTTTTTATACATGGTAATGGCAATGGTACACGACGTTGAAGTAGCAGCCACATAAATGACATCGTCATTTCTTGTTGTCGCCAAGTACTGAAACAGAGTGAACAATCGAATTTAAAAGATGAATTTTCTAGTCTGTAATAAAAAATAGGAGACACGATTCATGACTATTTATTTATTTTTTTTGTGTGTGTGTTAGGACATCTTCTGTAAGAGAAATAGCTCGACACTTACAGTTGATCTCCAGTTAATAATGAATTTAAATTTTCCATCAAATTTGTATATGCTTTAACATTATCATCATTTCGTTTCTGACGTATTTCATTTCGTTGTTCTAATTCTTTTCCAGTTAATGGACGCCAAATTTTTTCTGCTGCTTTTATACTTTCATCATTTGTCTATTAAGAGAAAATATTAAAAATAAAATAGAAATCAATTATATTATGATTTATAAACTAACATCTTCAATTAATGATTGTGTATCAAATTGTTTTCCAATAGTTTCATTAATATGATCAATAAGACGTTGTGCTGTGGGTTTTTTAACTGTAACACGTGCTAATGCTGGCCATAATTTTTCAATCATTGACCATGAATGTTTTGTTGGCATAAAAAATGAATGATTTCCAAGTAATACATACAAACAACCTTTTATTATATCATGATCAATTTCTTCTGTAGAACTTAATAATGTCAATATACGTTCAAGAATAACTTGATAAGAAAATAAATATCGATTTAATACGGAAAATAAATAACCTTGAGCATCACGACGAACCTGAAATTGATAATAAATACAAATTAGATAATTATTTTAAATATTGAAAAGTAAAGATAACTTACTTCACCATACCGGTTAATAGATAATTCAAATAATTTTAAAACAATTTTTTTATCAATTTCAGTTAATGTTTGAAAATTACTAAGTGACCATTGCTAAAAAAAAAAGAAGAAAAATAGATAGGGAAAAAATTCAACATTATTCTAATACACTTTACTTCACTTTGTAATGTTATTCGTTCAATCATTAAAAATCTTGGATATTGTCTTTCACCGTACAGCTATAATAATAAGAAGAAGAAGAAAAAAAAATTAGATCCAAGTTTTACTTTATTCACAATGAACATTGAAATATTCAATTTTTACTTTATTCATAAATGAATGTTTAGCATTTTCAAAATGTTTCCATAATTTATCAGCATCATGTTTAAATACACCATAATAAATGGATGCCAGTGAAAATATCTATAATAGATATCATTCAGTTAGTAGATAATAGAAGAAAAAAAAAATGAATTCTACTATACTTTGAGTGCTGTTTTTAGTGATGATGCATCATCTGAATTATTTTCGACTAAGACATCTATTGAATAAAGAATTATAGAAATAAAAAATTGAAAAAAAATGTTTTATCGTGTATTATTACCGATTAATTTTCCAATATCCGTCAATAAACGTAACCTCAAATTTTCATCAAATTCTAAAAATAGTAAAAAAAACGAAATAACAGAGTATAGTTTGTCATTTTTAGTTCACATACGTGGCTGTTTGGCATAAATAGAATATTGTACAGAAAATTTTGATCCATATGGAGCAACAGATGGAACACTAGTAAAAAATAAAGAACAATCGAATGAGAACAATATGACAATAATAAAATTCGATTTCGAACAAATATTTCTTCGCTCGTAATGCTTACTCACAGATCTTCCACTTCATTGCTATCAATTCGCGGTACCATTCGAAGACAACCCATTGAAATATAGTGGACAATTGTCAATGATCTCAGACGTTCATCATTCGATAATTTAACACCTTTTTCTGTTAATAAATTTAATTCAGGATATAAATAGGTTTTTACAAATTCACATGCAAAATCAACTTCATCTTCATTTGGTATATGAAACTGAACTTGTAAATTATCAAATTCAACATGTTGACCCCATGCCTGAAAGAAAAACGTAATGATTTTGTTAATAGTTAACAGATTTATTTTAAAAACTAATGTTTAATTTTACTCGAATTGGTAAAAATTCTGTAAATGGTTCATCGATATTTTCAACTGTTAAACGATAATCAATTGGATAAACATACGTTAATGATTTTAATAAATTTTTTGCAGCATTTGCTAATGCTTCATAACTATCTTTATGAATAATATGTATACATCGATGAAATACTTGCATAATCATCTGTTTATATTGTATCAATGTATCGCCCTTGGCACGTAATAATTCGGAAAATAATATTAAACACCATGTTAATTCAGTATCACCTTTATGATCAGTGAGAATCGTTGTTTCACTATTATTCATTATCTTTGTAATTCGTTCACATGTTTGTGATAAAAAATGTTTTAATGTTTCCGTTGGATTACCCTTTAATATTGCACGTACAAGACCTGTAACCATTTTACCAACTTTTGGTGTATAAAAACTACCGGCGATAAAATTTGTTATTTTATTTAAAACAAGCTAAACAAAAGAGAGAAAAAAATAAGACTCAATATCATTCAATTTAATAAATTTTAACACATTATTTTTACTTGAAATATCTTTTGACTACATTGTTGAACTATGCCAAACATCATGGATGTTAATGCTAATTCAGTGATATGATCTTCCATATTTACTTTCATTACAACAGTAACAGCTTCTGACATTTCTGTTGATAAAGTATCAATCATTTGAAATGTACGATTTAAAAATTCTACAATAAAATCTTCAAATTTTGCTGTAGATAGGCAAACTTCTTTTTCAATCTAGAAAAATTAAAATAGAAAATTAAAATCATAATTTTTATTTCATTGTCTAACATACCGGTGTTAAATCCGTCCTTGTGTGTATGGCTGATGAACAATCAACACAAGTCACCAACATTAATATAGCATTTAAAAACTGAAATGTTACAGCTGTTTTTTTGAAATCATTTGGATCAATACCAGGTAAAACTGCCATTAATAATGGAATAACATAGGTTTGTCCTTCGGTATAATGAGGAGTTTGACGAACAATTTGTCTTGCTACACCCGCTAAACAATTCATTATCGACGTGAAGCGATGAGGTTCTGTCATACTCTCAACACTTGAAAATAGTCTAGAGAAAGCAAAATAAAATCGATATATTGACACATGATTAATATAAAATAATATTTTACTTTTCAACTATAGGTGGAATAATTAATTCTGGTCTTAACATTGACAAATATTGACATGCTTTAGATGCTTCTTTTTGATGAGATTTTGTAAATATGGCAATAAATGCTGCTTCTTTCACGCAATTAACAAAATCTGTTATATCTTGTTCAGTTAAACGATGTGTTTGTAGTGGTGTGAAAAACCATATAGGATGTGCTTTACGTTCCCTAAAATGAGAAATTAAAAATACTTCAGTTTTGAGTAACAGTAAGTTTGTTAAGAGAAGAGAAAGAAGTCATCATTTTATGTTTCTTATAAATTACGAAAAATGATCAATTACTTACAAATGAACACGATCGACGAATGCTTGAGCTAATTTTGATAAAAATCCTACTAAATCTTGCTATAAAAGATATTGTATTTTGTAAACAAAATCGACCAAGAAAAAAATCTAATATGTTCTTACTTGAAATTTTCCAGTATTTGAAGGATGATAAAACGTTTTGATTGCAGTGAATAAATCTTTTAAATATTGTAAACATGAACTTCCATTGCCCTAAATTATTTCACAACTTATTTCAATAATAAATCTGAAAGAAGAAAAACAGAAAAGTCTTACCAGCATGGCAACGATCCACGTCGTCACACTTGTCATACTATAATTATATTGAGTTAATGATACATTTATATTTGTACTACCAACTGGTAAACTCAAACTTTTCAATACACGAGTAAAGATCTAAAGAAATACAACATTTTTAGTGACTTAGAACTATGACAATAGAATCAATTTATTTACCTTTGGAAGCCAAGGCTCCCAATCGATAGATCCAATATTACACCATGCCAGTAATGAAAACAAATTTACAAGATTCGCTTCCCAAACAGGATTACTATATACACTTTCCCAAATTCCAAGGAATTCATGGAGCCATAATCTAGTAAAGCGATAGACACACTAAACTAGTAACAATATTTGATTAACTATATTACTAACTTGAATCCATTGTCATGTAATTGTGGAGGTAAATGTACAGGTAAAAATAATTCAAATACTCTCATAGCATCGGAAAATGCAGAATCAAATGGACATAAGTATGGGCGAAACTCATCAAGCATTTCTTGGGTAGATGTTGCCGAAAAATATGGACGACAACCGCGAACACAATAATATAATGAATTTTCAATATCACTAAAGACAAACAATTTATACAGTTTTGTTACAGTAATGGTACCACCACTTACTGTGGCATGGCAACTAGTGCATAGGGTTCATCATGATTGTGTAAAATTAGTTTTGCCCAATGATATAATTGTTTCCAATCAACCGTAAGATCATCACGAGTGATCAAACGAGTTTTTCTAGAAGAAAAGAAGAAAATAATAAGTTTTGAAAATAGCTCAAAGCCACTTTTCGACCGATTTAACCAACGAGATATTTTTGTACACACTTTTATGTTTTCAAATTATAGGAATATATATTACCTCATCAGGTCGTATAACATATCGAAACATGTTTTAACGTGTGAATAATCTAAATCTTTGATTGATAATATTGACAAATAAAAGTCGACTAATCGAAGATGTTCTTCTTTGGTAAAATAATAACCATATAGACTAATAAAACTGAAAAACAGAAGAATAAAAGAGTAAGATAATTATGATCACATAATGTGAATAATTTACCGTTGTAGTTTTGATGACCAATGTGAGAAACCCGGTCTTAGTTCTCTTAACTGAATAATTCGACTAAGATTTTCACATATCTCATTAAATGAATCAAAACCTTGCTTTTTTATATTCTCATAATATGGTAAATATTTATTGAATATGTTTGGTTTTTGTAACTTTTTTTGTTCATCTTCATCAGCAGAACTATCAGATTCTACCATCTGCTCATCTTTGATATCAGTGAACATCTAGAACAGAAAAGAAATTTTTTGAATAAGATTTTTAAATGAAAAAACACGTGGACTTAAGTAGTAAAGTAAGTAATAGATATTCTATTTTCATTAAATGTTTGCACTGATTTTTGGAAAAAACTGACAGTGAGATAGTTTATCTACTTCTCCTGTTCGACTAGCATGCGCTTTTTCGGAATTTGTATATACTTTGCAAAAAAAACAGAACGTATACGGCAAAATCTTAGAAATATCGATACTCATTATACATATTCATAGACGATACTATATAAGAATCAGAAGAATTTCCGAATGAATGTCATATATCAAACATTTTTTGCACTGTCATACACTTGATTACTCATACAAAAGTAAAGTTTATTTTTCGATGAGAAATCGATGACACTGATACCTTGACTAGATTAGATCTTCGTAAGAGAAGAAAATTTCATACTTAATGTAAGCTGGTTTCTTGTAGATGAGAATAACACTACAAGAATTGAGAAATTAAATAGCCAAAGAAATAAGACTTGGTTGTACTTGTATTGTTGTACTTTTCTATTGGTGAATTCCAAATGAAAGAAAAATAACAAAACGGATGTCGCAGTCATCATTATACGATGTCGTTAAAAGATGTAACAAAAAATTGAAAGCAACTAATCGAGTTTTATATAATTCGATTCAGATTTCACCATAATGAGATCATAGGATGTTTGTAAGACTAACTATATTAGAGATTTATTCACTATTAACAACATAAAAAAACTCAATAGTTACGAAGTATTTTCTGTTGAAGGAGGATGCGCATCCTCCTGATATTTGAGCCTCTGACTCGAGAGATCGTTTGTTTGTGTACTCCTGCAGCCTTTGATATAAATATGTTTATGTGACATGATGACACTTACACTGGCAAATTGTCCCAGCTTAGCTACTATTCTTTTCTCAACCAGGGAAAACATTTTTGCCTTTTTATAGTCAGAATCTGTTCGCTGGTCATCTTACTCGTTTACATTTATACTTTCCATGTAAAAAATTTTGAATAAGTAATCGCATTTTCTTTAAATATTCAGAACAAAACGTGTTCAACGCAAATTTTCACATGAGTTTAGCCAAGTGAGTTGATCAATCATACTGTCGTTTCTTGTCAAAGACTTTTGCTTCAACTTGAAAAAATATTCTTATTTGTCCGAGAAAATTTTTCAAAAAAAAACTATAGAAACTGAAAGTCTGTATGAAGATTCTTCGAAATGCGAAAGCAGTTCGAATAAATTTTCATACTAAATTATTTCAACTAGATAAGATTTAGTCTTCCAGATCATTCCGCTGAAAAGTTTATCAAGTTTTAATTATCGATATGAAGAATCGTTTTGAGTGTAGTCTATTATCACACAATCTGGTCGTCTGAGTAAACGCGCTACATATCAAAGCAAATTAACGTTATAGATAGAACGCCTCTCAAAAATCTAAACCAGACACTTGTCTAAAAATAATTTAATGATTTAAAATTCTTTTTACATAACAAATATATCTTTACCTTTTAGTTTCGAAGAATTCTATTTCAATTTCTCAATAATCGTACATAAATAATTCTTCACTTAGGGATATTATGTAATCAGCCATATGGAAGGAAGGGGTTAAGAAAAGATTTTAGATAGCATAAGCAGTAATAAAACTTCACCGTATCGTTGTGTTACCGATATGACGCTTTTGCATCATCACCATTGCAAGGTGGAACAAATCCGGTAGTTATCCGCAAATTGTTCGTCACGTAGTTGTTGCTATTGCTTCCCTCTTTTCTAGCCTTTGTACAACAAAGTTGATGCAAAATGTGTTTGAGACAAACGATATATTCACATCGTTATAATGATTTTGATATATATATCAAAATAAATTTCATATTGGTGGAGTTTGTTCAGCTGATTTTGGTTGGTCTACGATAAGGCACAATAAGATTGCTGCTCTTTTAAAGTAATGTCACATCACTCATAAAACAACTTGCCTTCTTTTATATTCCGTATTCAGACAAGAGTGAGAAAAATTGAACTTTGAGTATACTTGCGAATGAAGGATATACGAAAAAAATGGAAGCAAAAGTTATGCTTTTCTCCTATGGACCTGAAGGATGTTTCACAAAAAGTCTTAAGTGCCTGACTTAACTACGTCTAGGCTTAAAAGTCAGAATTAAAAAAGTATAAAATCAAGTGTACAAAACGACGAGGTAAGTCTGACTTAAGTCTAGACTTAGTTAAGTCGAGCACTTAAGAATTTTTGTGAAACATCCTTCTGTACTCTGTTACCTATATATTATTCCGTGTTGTGATTCTGTTTTTTAGTCAACATTTGATCATTCAATGATTGTCTTAATCCCTTGAGGATGGCGTTACTGTCAGAAAAAAAAATGAAGTTTTACGTCTAGTTTTATCATCCTTCAAATACTGGAAACGTCAAATGTCTAAAAGTATTTCAGAATATGATAATCTCGAAACAACCTGATACACAGGGCTCGACGTTGCATTCATATCTAGAGTCAGCCCTCTTTCGGGTGCAGAAAGGAGAACAATCATAAAAAACAACCGAGTGCAAGAGCACATATATATATATACGCGCGATGGATAGAACGAGAATGCACTAGAAGAAAGAGAACTCGTATGAAGATGACAGAAACGATATGACGAAAGAACATAGAAGTAATGGATCTAACTATAGGAAGAAAGAAGGTGAATGAGGTCATATTGTAGATGATAGTATTACAATACATGGGAAGTGACAGATCTATGATCTCCACTGGCATTTCTGCCATTACAGTATCATAAGAGACATGTCCAAGTCAGTTACGAGTTGATTCAGAACCAAAACACATATGTGTTTCCCGTTCCCAAGGGGTTAAAACAAACAAATATTTGTGTTTTTGTTGCACGTAGTCCTGATTAATTAAGTTCAGTTTTTTGTCTAAGCTGTTACGAAAAGGCTAAAGTGCAATAACGAGCGAACGAAGATGATGCGATTGAATCAGATGTCTTTTTGTTAATGAAATAAATATTATTTCTTACATATTCATTATTTTTGATCAAATGTAAAAGTGCACAGATATTGGATTTTTAGTCAGTGTATGATGTTTCTTCTGAGACAAGATCAAATTAGTCTAGTATTAATCAAATGAAACACATGTTTGTCAGCTGTAGAAAATGTCTAATTTTGGTGTTTCACTCGTTAACTTTATATCAGAGATAAATGGCATGCTAAGGCCCGGTGCCTCTTCAAGCAGGAAGAAATTGAGTGATTCTTCTTGTTATATTAGCAGGGAATTAGTAGTTACCAGAATTAGTAATACCTGTTTGCTTTTGTTGTAACGTAAGCATTTAAGTTAAGTGCAAATCAAACTTTCTCTAATATCTACATTGAATTTTCTTATACTAAGCATTTCTTTTGAACGCTTTAACCATTATCTATTGCGTTCAAAAGAAATTTTTGGTATCAAAAAAACTTAGTTAGGATTTGATTAACTGTTACTGTACATAACGAAAATCTGCTTTCACAATTAGACCTGCATAGCAATGAATCAGACACCTGTGTTTTAATCATTGTTTACCTATTCTTGGATTTTTGTATTATAGATTAGATACATAAGCTATAAGTACTTGTGTCAGATTACATCGAACATATTATTATGATGTTGTACGATACAGATTTCAATAATTTATTTGATATTTTGTTTTTTCGTACAACAACATTAACTGGTTTTCTCTTATATTGGATACCAATCATCTGTATCCTATCACCATCTTATCTTCGTCCATTTGGCTTTGTTGATGGTACACAAGAATTTAAAGTTCATCGTATGCAACAGTTTGATTTATACGGACAAGCATTTGGTAGTCGTCAAGCCTATTTGTCATCTGAAGTTCGAATATGGTCTCAACCAAATATTTATCGTAAAACGGTGTTGATACATCTGAATAAAATAACCATTGAACGTTTTCGACAATTGATATCAAATGGAATTAATGGATTATTTATATTAATACCAAATATGTCATCTCGTTGGCAGGATGAACAAAAACAACAATTGTGCGAGTTAGAACAAATATTACTTTATGAATCCGTTCAAATACCCGTTTATTTTCTACAGGAAACACAACAAACAATTGATTTGTATAGATCAATTGAATCAAGACGTGATTCACAAAAAGATTCAGCATTTGCCGTTCTCTATGATAAAGTAACAGCTGATGGTTATCAATTTTCCATAGCACAAGGACAGTATCATCAGCGACAGGACAATGTTATGTATAACATACAAGGAAAACTTACTGGTCATGGAATTGAAGAACGTTTACCAAAAATATTATTTGTAGCACATTATGATGCATCAGGGATAGCCACAGGTTTATCGTATGGTGCAGATTCGAATGCAAGTGGTCTACTAGTCTTATTGAAATTAATACGTCTATTCTCAAAATTATATGCCAAACAAACAACACGGGCAAAATATAATTTATTATTTTTGTTTTCTGCTGGTGGCAAATTGAATTATCAAGGTAGTAAACGATGGATCGATGATTATCATGATCAACAACAACAACAGCAGTTACAAAACGATATTAATGTTGTTATTTGTTTAGGTACGCATTGTATATCATTACGTTTAGTGCTAGTACCTTGTTTTGAATGTCTATTTATCTATTTAGATGCATTAGGTCAATCGAATCAATTATATATGCACGTCTCAAAACCACCTCGAGATACACAATCAGTGAGTGCTATTTTTTTCATCTTTCTACTGTTATTTAACTGATTATTAAATAGGCTGGTATTCTACGAGATTTATTAACGAGGTTAAGTGAAAAATCTGTTTATGGTCCATTATATTTTGATCAAATACATAAAAAGATACTGAAAACAAGTGAATTTGTTGCATGGGAACATGAAAAATATTCATGGTCAAAAATGCCTGCCTTCACAATTTCACATTTAAATACATCAAAAACGTGTCAACATTCAACTATAAGTGATTTTAAAGAAGATGTTCATTTATCATCTATTGATAAAAATTTTCATTATATTAGTGATGCATTAATACGTTTATTATATAATACAACGGATTTGAATATGTCCGTTATTGATCATAAATATATTATGTCACAGCAGCAATCAACATATGATCAACAATTTTTGAAAATATGGTTAAATTTTTTAACTTCTCGTTCGCGTGCACAATCATTATTAACTAAACAGCATCCAGTTTTAATTGCATTAGAGCAATATGCACAAAATTATTTACAAAATGTACAAAAAGTACCAGTTAGATCACATAGCAAGTAAGAGTATTGAAACGCAGTAAAAATCAGTTAGGATGTATGTAACGTTGTCAAATATTGCTGAGCTCATTTCTTGACCTTTGGAAGTTATAAAACGTTCGTTTATGGATGACGAGAGTAGATAATGCCAGTTTCTTGTTAGCATGAGAAATGAGAAGTAGCAACTGAGTAGAATCACGAGAAAATGGAAGGAAGACGATGACATTATAAATGAACTCATTCATAATTCCTAGCAGTACTAAAATTCGATCACCAACTGGCTTATCAGTGAAGCGTAAATCATATATAAATTGTTCCTCGATCTGTTGCTGTTGCTACACGTCTTATAGTTATCGTTCAAATTAATTAGCTTGTCTTTTTTATTTTATTTTAGAAAAGATCCAGAATTTATATTTTATGACGGTGATGATGAAGCACGATTACTCTATGTTTATCGTGTTAAACCGGCTATATTCGATTTAGTTTTAGCATCATTTATTGCTATTTATTTGGGCATTATTTATTTATGTACCAATAACTGGACAGCTATATTAAACTTTATTTCATTGCATCTACACACATCAAGAATAAAATACAATACAAACAATAATTATCTCTATAAGAGGAAAATAAATTGATATTTTGCTTGACGTTTCATTGCTCTTGTCATTTATTGTTGCGCAGATTACTTCTCATACCTATTTTCATTAAAGATAGCGTAGCTATTCACTTTGTTGTTGTTGTAATCGGTAGTAATCCCTTCTATGTTTGTAATTTGAAATCAGATCAAATATGTTCGTATCTCTCCTTTTTTTAAATGTAATTATATTTTCTTATTTAGTAGTGTTGTTTTTTTTGCCACTGCTTTTCCGTTTCAGTCATGCCATGTTAAAAAATAACAACGTGGATGTCAAAATTCTCATCCGCTCATTTAAGTCATTTTTCAATTTCAACTCTGTTTAAACGAAATTTTTTTGTTTTGTAGTCACATTGTTCTTTTTAGAAAAAATTCTGGTTAGGAACCGGTTTGTTGTTGTTCTTTTTTATAAAAAGATTAATCTGGTCAAATATCACTAAAAACCGGTATATTATTGATGTAAACAAGCAGTAACGTTGAGTGTAGATATCAGCGTTTACCAAACACAATAATAGCTTCGACTCATAAATAGCGCTATTTTTTGTCTGTAAATGATGAACCTCGACGACATTTGATACTGATAATCGATGGTACCAGCGCAATTTCAATGAATACGCTATTTCTTCACCTCCAGTAATATTCTCTTTCTTCCGATTTTCTTTTCACGTTGTTTCAGGTATGTATTTATTAACCGGCAACAGATGCAATGATAACAAAAGATATTACCGGCACGATACTTATTAGGCTATCAATATGGGATTATAATATATAAACGAATTCCATATATTCTTTCCAAGGAAAAGTGTTCTGCGAAAAAATTCTCATCCCAGCAATTCGACAATTCCAATAATAATATAAAATGTTTGTGAATATACTCGTGCTCATATGCTGATTTCTTGGTAAGACACTATTCATTTGAGTATCTGATTTCTCAGATACATTTACTCCATTAAAACTTACTAATGAGATTGATTGTATTGATGATTACTCTGGTCAAATATCACCAAAAGCCGGCATATTACTGATGTAAAAAAGCATTAACGTTGAGTATACGATATCAGCGTTTACCAAATACAATAATAGCGAACTCATATCTTCGACTCATATCTTTTATTCATTAGAACTTAATAATGACATAAGTTGTATTTGTTTGATAAATAAAACACGCACACGTTACACCACACATTTATAATAGAAAATAAAATATACTAACTTATCCGATTTCTCAGAACAAGGAGCAAAAAAGACTATATATCTTCAGTAATATGGGAATTTTAAAAATGACTAACGCCATATTCGCAAAAATAACATATAAAAATATATCACAGCTAAAAAGGAAAAAGTTAGACTGTTCCATAACCATCATGTATATAACTGGACGGACAGTAAACAAACAAAATAGAATTTGAAAAAGTAATAAGTAAAAGAAACAAAACTATCTGTTGTATATAGAAACAAATGCATGAAAAAGTCCGACCCGCGGATTACACTATATAAGTATATCGATACTAAAAAGTGGCACTCAGTAAATGTTTAGAAATGGATAATAGAGGCAGACACATAATTGCAGAATTATAATGAAACTCGACGACATAAAAGGCGAAGCACTTTGAAACCACATTTTTGAGTATGATGACTTGAGAACAAGGAATTTTCATCTACGCTGATTGTAATTCATAGTAAATTTGTGTATTTGGATCATAATAACAACTCAATATTTCATCATAACAAAGTGCAACCTGCTCTTCTTCATCATCATCTTGTTCATTCTCTAGCGGACTACCACTATTATCGCTTTGACTTCCACAATCTGTAACAATCGATGATAGCAGTTGTGATGCTTTTGTATTTGACCTTAATATTGCCATTTCATCTCGATATGGTCGCAAGCTTGATCCAGGTGATACTCGTAATGTTGTTGTGTTATCAAGTGAATTTACAACGGTATACTCGTATTTTGTTAAATTTGAACGTTTTGTTTGTTGACGTCTCGGTGATTGCATTTGATTTTCAGGTTTTGGTGTTGTCTCTAATAGAGGATCAATATTAATCAATTGTTCTTGTTCATCTCCATCTGACCTATTAATATAATTGAGCATTGCGTCCATTCCATCTGAATCCATAAACAGCGCTTTCGATTCCAGTTCAAATTCGCCGACATTGTTCATCTTCTGTTGTTGTTCTTCAAGTGTATGCTTCTCATTCTGATTAATTTCAAATGAGGCTGGCTGTATTTTAGAAGATGTGGAGGAAGATTTCAAATTTGAAACTGGAACATAGAAAAGAAAAAAATATTCGTAGTATATACATCAATAAAGGAAGTATGTCAACATTGAAGTTAACTTATGCTAAATATAGATAGTTATCAAGAAATAAAAAATACATTGCAGAACAGAAACGTAGTGTATACCATCATTTCTCATTCAAATTCACTGAATCTAACTAGAATCTATTACTACACTGTATCAATACATATCCTTTTTTATTAGCTGCTGAACCCCAGTTGAAATGAATATAAAAAGCCTTCAATTTACCTGTATTGGTATTAACTAATGGTTTTTGAGCTAGGAGTAATTTTTGTTCTATATGTAATCCTAAATTTGATGATTGTGTACTTTTTTTAATCATGTTCGATGAATCTCCTATATTACAAGTATTTGGCATTGTCAATAGATGTTCCTTTTCATCCTGTTGAGTCAATGAAAGATGGGAATTTAGTACTGGCTTTGGTGGAAGTAGTATTAGCATTCGACGTTTTTGAACAGCAACCGGTACTTTTGAACGGGTTTGTTGTGAAAGTTCTGCTTGTTGGTGTTTTTTATCTACTTCAACTAGATGATATCGGTGAGTTGTACTCAGTTGCTCTTGATTGTCGCTGTAAAAATGATTTTCTTCCGTTTTTGTTGCAGAAATTTTTTGACGATGATAACTAAATACTGTAGTATTGCCTTTTTGTTGTTGTTGCTGCTGTACGTTTGCGTTTGCTGACGAAGGTTTTTGAGAGGGTGCAGATGATGGTGGAGACAGTCGAGGACTATTCTCCTCCGGCGCGGATGATACACGAATTCGTGTCCGAGATGACAAATATTTGCTTTGTTGCTGTTGTGCATGATGCAACACTCGTGGAGGATTACTATGCACATATAATTTGGGATTTTTTTCTTCTTCTGCTTCAACGTTATTAGTCGATTGTAAATATGCTTCTGAAGATGTTACGGAACGCTGCTTTGATATTGAGCCATTTGAAGGTATCGATGAGAGAGATGTTGTTAGCGGAGTTTGAGAATTATGCAATTGTGAACGACAATCTTGCGTTGCAGACGAATGATTGATTAGTCGCGGTAACGGTGGTATTGGTGCAGTGAAACAGGTCTTCATATGATTTTTATCCGATGCTGAGGTTATCACTACACTCTGTCGTGCGAATGTTGTTGAATTGGATCGGTATGTCGGTAGAACTGACATGATTTAATTAAGCAGTAACCGTTAATACGCATAGACTAATCTGAATAGAAGTTGGTTATTTAATATTGATCTTAAAAATAAAAAGCATTTATTTCAGAGAGGACGATAGTGAGTCCTGACAACGTTCCTTTTTTTTCTTCGTGAAACACATTCTAATCTTTTTATTTATATCACCTTTAAGAACACCTCTTCTACCGCTCAACGTATTTGGCGGTCACCTTTTTACTGATTATCTGTCTGTCTTTATCAAACTATTGACGATCTTCACAAGGTAGGCAAATCTGAATTTTCTCTCGATGTGATAAATACGAGAACGTTGATTAACAGAAATGAGCAGTTAATTTATTTTCTTCGTTCACACAGCAATTTTAACACTTCCCGTAAAACAATTTTGATATTCTAACGCAAGTTAGCATGGGTTAAAAAATAAATAAATTTAATGCATGCACAGAAATTAAGTGCTATTGAATGCATGCACACGCATATTATTTCTCAAAATTATGAAGGAACAGAGATGTCTAAAAATTAATTTTAACACGTACAAAGACGATTTTAGCAAATAAATATGAAAACTACGTTCAAACTCGTTATTCACCAAAATTTTAAAACGATAACACGTTAAATGTTCCATATTAACGAGCGAGAACTTGTAGCGCGTGGTAACGCTCCTCTTAACTGTAAAGTGTTCGATGTACGGTATATCTGGGAGGAAAAGAGTTTGTCACGCAAAACAAAACGGTAATTGAAAAATAATCATTTTAACTCGTCATTGCTTTTCCATAAATTCACGGATTCGAACTGGTTAAATCTGATAATTTTGCACGTTTGAACTCGTTAGTTTGCAGAATAATTAAAGTATATTATAACTTTTATTTTAACGCGTTTGAACACGTTTAGAGAAGTTAGAACGCGTTAGATATTTACACTTGTTCAAACCCGTCAAAAGCAACCTTTAATTCGCATTAAACTTATTTACGTGGATTAGGGATATATTAACGCTTGAATTGATCAAACCTGAACGCATGAAAACTCGTTAAATACTAATATGCGTTAAGGTATCAAAATTATTCCATGCGTTCTTTTATACCATCCCAATTCGATCGTTCAATCATGCGCCACTGTCTGGGTACTTGTCGTATGAAAAAGTCAAAAAGATATTCAGCAGTATATTGTAATTCCCTTGACTTTAGTGTACGGAATTATAAAATAGTAGTCTATCTGTCTGTGTGTGCGGAAAATGGTTGTTACATATTCGATGGATAACCCAATCACAAGAAAGAAAAATACAGAATTCTTTTTAACCATGATAGAGAATATATTGAAAGAGATCGTTACAACATCTACTGATGCAGGGAAAAGAAAAGCTAAGCAAACGTTTGCGTGTAGTTGGACGATAGATGTCGCTAGGAAGCAGTCGGTTTCGATAACACAAAAAAGTCATCTCAGATAATAAAACTTATAGAATATAGATAGCCTATCATGGCGAATCGGTTAGGAATACTCCAGTTCCTTTGGGATCTTCAGAGGATGTCTTCAAAAACGGTGCATGGTGGAAAAAACGTTTGGTATAAAAATTGTGCGCACCCAGGTCCATGATTACGACTGTCGTATTCGTCAAATTATGACGACGTAATTGACGTGTACTACGGTATTTCGTTGTATTTTGACGTAAATCCAGCCAACGTATTACGCCAGCCGTTGTTTTCGTCGTATTTCAACTTAAACAACGTCTTTTACGGTGGACGTAATACGTTGGCCGGATTTACGTCAAAATACGACGAAATACTGTAGTATACGGCCGTGAATCTTTGACCTGGCAGGAGGTAACGTTGTCTGATTTTCAAAATTTTCTTCTATATGTTTTAAAGTGAGTAGTTTATGATGACATACGACAAAATACGATGACAGTATTTCGATCATCGTAGTACTTCTCCACGAAACAGGTCCGATTATAACGAAATACTGTTGTAAACGTCAAAATACGACGTCGTAATTTGACGTATTACGACCGTCGTAATCATCGTCCTGGGGTTATGACATGATAATGTAGTACTGATTATTAGTGTAACGATATTTTTTGTTTATTTTTACCTTGATTAAAGAAAAGAATTCGATAAAAAAAGAAGCTTTTTTGTTATCGAATTCTTTTCTTTCATACCTCTCTTCATTTATAAATGAAGAGAGGTATGATCGTTATTTTTTCTAAGTACTTTTTTGATTGAGGAAGAATCATCGGCTTTATTTAAAAAGCCTGGAGACAAAAAGAGTGCTGACAAGTAGTCTTTTGCCCGAAAAAAACTAATTTTTACATCATTCTTTCAAAGTGCATAGTTTTAATATTTATGATATTATTGTTTGAGCGGTAGATTCTATGATTTCTTCTAATAACGTTGCTAGTAGATTTTCTTGATTAGCTCTTGCTCTTCGTAGTGCATTTCTTATTAGTTTCTCACAAAATTCTCTAAAATAAAGGATTTTGGCAACTTGAGGTATATAAGTGGTAGAGGTGTAGCAGGGTAATAAAAGTGCCGTCTTTATAGATTTATTTTGTATGATTTGTAATTGTTGTAGGTGTTTATCTTCTAGGGTAAGGATAATCGGTGCACTATAGGAGATTATGGACCGTATTAAACCTTTGTACAGATTCAAAATAATTCTGCTGTTGACATCTGATATGGATTTAATTAGAAATCTTATCAAACTACGTCTGTTGGTGATTTTTTCGTTTACATGTTGCACATAATGGTCAAAAATTACGCCGAGATATTCAACTTTTGTTAGAGTTGTGATTGTCACGTTTGCCGGTTCTTAGCTGAATTTTATTTTTATATTTTCATGGATGATGAGTAAAGTGGATAAACTCTATTTTTGTCAGTTGAAGGTCCAGTTTCCACCAGTAACACAACTTTTGAAATTCATCTTTTGACTCCTGTAGACATTTTTGTAAATTGATAGGACTGTTGCTGGTTGTCCAGAAGGGCATATCATCCGTGAACAAACCTTTCTCTGTATGTTGTAGTGTTCACTGAATCTGCCGTGTACGTGAAGTAGCGAAGAGGACTCAGTGGAACACCTTGAAGTGTGTCGCTTTTTGAGAACGAACTTTCTAGACAAAATATTTTCTAGTTTTATGTGAGCTGTCCGATGGTGAAGAAATCCGATTATCCAGAAGAATAAATATGTTGGGATTTTAAAGTTTGATAGCTTGTAAATGAGGCCGTCTACCCATACTGAATCGAATGCCTGTTTCACATAAAAATATACTGCTGTCTGTTTTCATCTAAATTCTTTCTGGAGTAACTTTCTAGTCTGTTGTTGATGGTACCTTTAGAGTTTCTAATCCGGTCTGGTACCACGACAAGATATTGTTTTCGTTTAGAAATTTTTCCAGGCGGCATTTGACTATACTTTCGAGTAATTTACCAATACAGCTTAGTAAAGTGATCGGCTGGTAACTTGATGGTTGATTGGGCGTTTTTTTCTCGTTTGCATAGCAGGATGATATGGGCTATTCGCCATGATTCTGGCAAATATCCCAGTTTTATACCACCGTTGAATAAACATAGAAGGTGTTGAGTCAACAGTTGTGTATAATTTTTTAAATAACGATTATGTATATTGTCAGGGCCAGGTGATGTATTTCTTAATCATTCAAAATCTTTTCAATCTCTTTTTTTATTATTGGAGGAAATGATTGTTGCTTGTACTACCGATGTTTCAGTCTATGGTTATTGGCTAATCGCGTGACGAAATGGTGAAAACTGATAGTGTTAGGTTTGTTGTGTGGTAGACCGCTTGTACAAAATAATTAGCGAAGACTTTTGCTTTTTGATGATCAGTTGTTACCATTTGGTTTTGGTAGTGGATGACACCAAATTGTTGTTTTACTCTTTTGTTGTGATATCTTTTCACCGCTGACCATACCTGAGTACCGTTCATCTTATTTTTTGTTAGAGATACTATTAGCTTTTTGAATGAGTTAGTTTTATCATTTCCGATTGAGTTTGCAGCTAGTTCCCAATAACGGTAATAGTGTTGTTTACCTGATTCAGTGTGTGTTGTTTTCCGTCTTCTAGAGTAATGATGTTTCTGTTTTAATAAATCTAGGGTTACTTTGCTTGGTTTATAGGATCGTAGACCGCTGTTTGTTTTAGGTATTGCTATTTAGCATGCATCATCGATAGCATTAGTGATAAATTTTGAATAGGTTTCTATTTCTCGGATGCTGCTTACCTCCTTCGGTGGATGTGTCTTTAGGCTGGAATTTACTTCCAGTTTAAACTAAGGCCAGTTAGCTGCATAGAAATTGTTGACGTGGTGTTGATGGTTTGATTTCTGCTGTGGCGTCTATCGGCACTAACGTACTTGCCCACCCACCACGTCTTATAAAGCTCTGAAAATGATGATTTATTCAAGAGTAATTCAGTTTGTCATAGAACCGCCTCTTATTATGCAATAAAATAAATGGGATAAATTGCCAGGATTCGAACAAATCCACATACGTCTAGACTGGACGCCATGATTCACAAGATTAGTACCGGCCCAGCTCCTCAACATGGCAAAAATTTAGAAGAACCTAAGTTGGCTGATGCATTTCGTTTTGCTCTCGAACCAGAAACTCAATAGGCTGCTCTGTATTTATCAGAACAAATGAAAAAAGAATATGGTGTTGCTGCAACTGTTCGGTCATTTTATATTCAGCTTCCGTTGGACAAAATGATAAGTGATCTAGAACCAAGTTTCCCCGCGTCATTCTACCTTCCTGAATACGATCTGAAAATCTCTCTTTAAGCTGTACAAGTCCTCGTGGCAGTTACAGCCATCCAAGAATCAGAACTTACGGTTATCATGTTAAAATGTGGGAAATTCGTGATGATCAAGGTCATTTACTTTCATACGGGATTTATAAACATGGAACAAAAGCATTTTCAAGTTTGGTTATTGAATCGGTTGATGGATTTAAGAAGGCGTAGAATGCAAGCTTTGGATGTAACAACAGGTTCAATGGAAGCAGGAAAAGGACTTACAAAAAGCATTGGCAAATCACTTTTTCACACGTCTGTTGGTATATTTTGTTTATATAGCGAGGTGACTGATACTCTCAGCAAACTTTCCTCGTTGTACGATCCTTACCATATTTCGCGACCGCGTCCCATTGTCACGGATATTGTATCTGTAGATAAGGCTGGTGGGCTGGTTGCATGGCACGATTTGAAAGACGGTGTTCAAGATTTGTACAAGAAGCCGTCAAAAGGTGCAAAAGTACATGGTCTCTTTGGTTTTGGAGCCGGTGTTGTTGTTGGACTTGACATGTGTTTTAACACGAGTATGCTTCTTGTGAGTCGAATATGGATTTTTTTGCTGACACTCCCTATTCGATTGTTCGTTTGAAAATTATAGATCATTTTTGCTATTATTATTTTATATAAAGTTTGTCGAATGCACTTAAAAACTGACAAAGAAAACGCGATGCAAATTAGTCTTTCCATGTTGAATTCTTATTTTGTTAAATGATAATGTATACTAATAATATGAAATATTAATATCAATATTAATTCAGTTCGACAATATAAAGAAGAATTATTATCATTGTATCCTGAATGCGATGTCATCTCCATGAACGAGACAATTGTCTCGTTCATGGAGATGGGACAATTTCACCGAGTCTTAAGACTCGGTGAAATTATTCCTTATCATCTCTTAGGATCTAATGTGTATCATCATGATTGAGATAATCGAGGTTGTGGTGTACTAATGGCAATTAGAGAAAATATCATTTTTTTCTCAGAATAAGTTCACTAATACTCTTGTACATTATCAAGAATTTTTCTGAATAGAAGTATGATCTGTTCATTTTTGTACTTGGCATCTGATCGTATACCACGTGTCTTAGTTCTTGACATGTGTTTTAACACGAGTATGCTTCTTGTGAGTCGAATATGGATTTTTCTGCTGACACTCCCTATTCAATTGTTCATTTGAAAATTATAGATCATTTTTGCTATTATTATTTTATATAAAGTTTGTCGAATGCACTTAAAAACTGACAAAGAAAACGCGATGCAAATTAGTCTTTCCATGTTGAATTCTTATTTTATTTAATGATAATGTAAATATACACATATGTCACCCATGCGTTATGAGGAAAAAAGCACAAATGACAGAGTAAAGTGGGGTAATTCAGGAACTTTTTATACCCTTGTAAGTGTTTTTGGAAAATCTTTGTTATTTTTGGAGATTTTTGTGCGCACTTTGGCTGCAACATAACAAGGACTCTTGTAGATATAGAATTAGGGGAGGGGCAGGTTGACCTCCTAAGGGAATTGTTAGAATTAATTCTTTTATGGTTACTTTATTAAATACCTTAATTCTTTTATCTTTAGAGGTTACTATTATATGGGCTCATTTTAGTATTTTGAGTTGATTAAAGAGTATTATTAGATTGTCAATTACATTAATTTTAGGAGTTTATTTTTTATTAGTTCAAGTAGGTGAATATTCTGAGGCTTCATTTAATTTTATGACAAGGGGTTATGGGAGTGTTTTTTTTAGCTACAAGTTTTCATGTATTATTAGGTTGTTTTGTAATTTTAGCCAGAGTAGTAAGAATAGTAACTTTATCTATAGAGTCGTGAGTACATTATGGGTTTGAATTTTCTGCTTGATATTGACATTTTGTTGATGTGATTTGATTGTTTTTATTTGTCTTTATTTATTGATGGAGTAATTAATGTGAATTTTATATTGTATTTTGTTGTATCTATTGTTTTGCCTTTAGTTTTGTTTATTTTATTTGAATTGGGTATAATAAAGTTTTATTATAGTAAGGATAATCTACTGTTTTTGAATGTGGTTTTGATTCATATAATGTAGGTTTAATTCCTATTTCACTACGATTTTATGTTTTTTGTATTTTATTTTTAATTTTAGATTTAGAGTTAGTTATTGTAAGTTGTACCCCTTTATTTTTGTTTATAGATATAGTTGTTGTAAATTTTGTTTTATTTTTTATTTTAGTTACTATCATTCACTTGTCACATCACTAATATCCGGTGGATAAAAAAATATGAAGAAGGAGGAGGAAAACAGACGTTTGCTCAACATCGTAAGATTCGATCAATAAATCTTCTCGCTAATAAGCATCAAGTGAGTGTACATTTGTCACTGATACCGTTTTCAACATACAGATTCATCCAACCTTTCAAAAAATTGAAATATCATATATCTGATTATACATGGTTTTGTAAAGCACAAAATTCTCTGTCTTGTGAGCATAGAAAAGGTATGCACATTAAGAATGAGGTCAACAAATATGCCGTTTTCATTATTATTGTATACACTTGTAGAAGGAATAAATTCTTGAGCTAGATGCTAGAGGATCCCTTCAGTTTTGCTATTTTTATTTGGGGTAATATCGGAGAAAGTTTGTTCAAACGTGTTGATAGATTCATTATTTGTACCACTTGTAGTATTATGAGCATGCATTTCGATAGATTGTATACGAAGGTTAAAGGATGAGGACATTTGGGATGATGTTGTTGATAGATTTAATAATAAATGTTGCTGTGCGTGAGATGTGTTGATAATAGAATGATTTTTGTCAATTGGAAATAAAAATTGAAAAAATTGAAATATCATATATCTGATTATACATGGTTTTGTAAAGCACAAAATTCTCTGTCTTGTGAGCATAGAAGAGGTATGTACATTAAGAATGGGGTCAACAAATATGCATATGATTATGTTAATGGCTGAATATATGGCCTTAAATGAACTTTGAGACCAGGCATCATAAAGTTTCACATAGTGTTATTTTTTCATTCAGATACGATAGTTTTAACCAATTCATCATAGAATTCAAGCGTGTTGCATTAATTAGTATCGGCAGTGATCCAGCCATTCGTGTCGTCGCTACATCACCCGGCAATTACCAGCTTCAACTGCTGCTAATCTGGCATCAGGTACCACACCCTATTTAGCACAAGTATTGACCACAACGGCAAATTTACCTTGTAATAGTTGTTCAAAATTACGTCAACAATTAACGATATTAATTTATGAAATGTTAAGCTTAGAAAATACAATGAAATCAAAAATATGCGAATATGTTCAGCGACGTCTAACGGTAAGCAATGCTCAGTAATACAAAACAATATGTGCTGAATACTGTAGTCGGCGAAACACCAAGTAATATACCCATCATTTTTAACACAAAACAAGTAACCAATGGTAACGCTGTTCTGTGATTCTAAGCAGAGCCGTTTTCCGCTTAAAAATTCTTAGCGGACAACGATATAGTAGTAGTTGTGTTTGCTGAAAGGGAGAAACTGTGAACTTTATAGACTTGAGCGGATTTTAAATTCTCTCAGATCTCTTAAAGTCCGATAAAGTCTCCGTAAGTCCGTCAAGTCCTCTAAAGTCCGCTCAGATCTTTTAAAGATCTGATTGTATATGAAGTATTGATGACTGGTATATGAACGCCAAAATCTCGAGATCATCGGACGACAATATCAATCTTCAAAACTGGCTATTTCTCATATCCTACCCACTTTTGAGTTCATCTGTACAACAGCTAAGGATCTTGTATGAAATGAGCTCATAGTTTATAGTAGAGGAGTACTAACACAAGAGATATAAATGGGTTTTAATACCATAATATATTTTTTAGGTTAAAGAAAATTATGACAGCAAATTCAATGATAATGAATAATCACTATAGTAATAATGCTAACATATTGCTTCCAATTGACAAAAATCATTCTATTATCAACACATCTCACGCACAGCAACATTTATTATTAAATCTATCAACAACATCAT